AGTTTGAAAATATTTTTTCAGTCAATTCTGATTTATTTTTACCTTCCTCTAAAACTAAAATTTTACCTTCTGTTTTACAGGCACCTGAGGTAAAATTAGAGCAGTTATCGGAATACTTGAAATATGCCTTTTTAGGCGAAAATAGAACATTATCGGTGAGCATCTCAAGTAAAGTATCCGAAGGAGAAGAGGAAGCTTTGGTAATGATGTTGCTTACGCACAAAGAAGCCATAGGATAAACCACTGCCTACATTAAAGGATTAAGTCCCTCGACTTGCATGCACAAGATCAAAATTGAAGAATGAGCAAAGCCATTTGAGAAGGACAATGCCGATTAAATCCACCGATGATGAAAGTAATAAAGAAGGAAATTCATAAAATCCTTGATGCTGATTAATCTATCTGATATCGGATAGTAATTGGGTAAGTCTGATTCATGTAGTTCCCAAGAAAATGGGAGTTACAGTTGTCGAAAATCAAGAAGGGGAGTTACAAGAGTTCAAAATAGATGGCGAGTTTGCATCAATTACAGGAAGTTAAACTCTCTTATTCGAAAATATCATTTTCCTCTTCCCTTTATAGACATAATGATTGAAATATTAGCTGGGAAAACTCATTATTGTTGCCTTACTGGTTTTTCAGGTTTTTTTCCAAATCCAGTAGCGCCCGAAGATCAAGAAAAAAATGACTTTTACTTGTACCTAGGGTACATTTTCATATAGACGAATGCCCTTTGGTCTTTGTAACGCGCCAACCACCTTCCAAAGATGCATGTTGAGTATATTTTCTGACTATGTGGATAAGGGCATCGAAGTCTTTATGGATGACTTCACAGTTTATGGTAATTCTTTTAGTGAATATCTTGATAATTTAACTAATGTGCTTAAAAGATGCTTAGAGTATAACCTTGTTTTAAACTATGAAAAATGCCATTTTATGGTAGATAAAGGGTTAATTTTAGGTCATATCGTTTCCTCAAAAGGGATTGCGGTTGATAAAGCTAAAACATTTATTATACGCTCACTTCCTTACCTCACAACTGTGAGGGAAATTCATTCTTTTCTTGGTCATGTAGGATTTTACCGTAAGTTTATTAAAGACTTTTCGATAAAAGCACAACATTTATGCAATATTCTCCAAAAGGATCAAGACTTTTTTTTGAAAACGACCTAATTCACTTGATTTTTCTTAAAAGAATGTCTTTTCATTTTAAAAATCAACAATGATTTTTCACTCCAACTATTTAGGAGAATATATCGTTAATTCTCTCATAAGAAAACATTATCTTAAATTTTTAAAACTTAAAATATACAATGTTAGAATACAAATCTAATTGTAATACTTATGCTGGCAAGGCATGGATGATTTTTGAATATTATGGAAATTAATGTCGACAAAACCATGGAATGAATTGGCAGTAAATGAAGAAAGGTGAAAAAATTAAACAAGGAAAAGAGTATTCAATTGCGGCAAGCAACAATGAGGTGACAACAACTTTCTTAGTAGTTTTAACAGCATGCTTATGCTTAATAATTAAGAAAAAAAAACGTGACAATATAAGAAGAAATTAGCAGCAAAGTTAATCAGTTATATACTTCTATAAATATGGTTTGATAGCTTTAAGTTTAGAAATGAAATGTAGTGAGTGAATGTAAGTGTATTGAGTGTGGAAAGAAAAAAATCGAGAGATTAGAGAGTGTAGTTTAATAAAGCTTTGAATAGCGGGGTTGTATTTGTGAACTAGCCGCAACTAGTGTTTGTATCATATTTTATTTTGGTTCGTATTAGTAATAGTACGAGTTATAAAAATTATCAAGAGTCCACCTACGATTCCAAGCATTCAGTTATTAAATATATGAATGAAACAAATATAAAAAAATGCAGTACAATAAATGAAAATAATGATGCATGAAATTGACTAATAATTCGACTTAAAAATTCTTAATTTTAATCTTTTAATTAATTTCAATTTGATACTAATTTAACTTCTTAACACCTTTCTAACCACAAACTTAAATCATTCGTTATTCAATTCGGCGCATGATTAATTATTTTGTATTATTTTTGTTTCCATGTCATCATTCGTATATTTTGTCATGTATTGCTGAAATTATAACTAACCATGACACCGAAAGACTTTGACAATAGAATTTTAGGGTTTTCTTGTTGAACAAGTAAAGTTTAATTGAACGAGTTCAACTGTTTAATACTTTAATTCATGTCTAGATTTCGATCTTTGAATAGCGGTTGTATTTGTGAACTAACCGCAACTAGTGTTTGTATCATATTTTATTTTGGTTCGTATTAATAATAGTACGAACACGTTTATGAAAAAACCAAACCATCTCCACCACATATATATAATCAATTTAATGTTATTTTTAATTATGTTCAAAAATAACGAACACGTTTTTAAAATGGGTAAATTACAATATTTTCTAAATAATTTTTAACTTAATTTTTACAATATTGGTTCTATATCAATAAGAGGAGATGAATCTTTGTTTATATTTAAGTTAAATCCGATAATATAGTCTAAATTTTTTTAAGTTTTATATTTTTTTATGATTTTTGGATGAGTGGCTAAAATATTTTTAAAAGAAAGAACAAGGATTAAATCAAATTTAAATGAATTAATTTTTTTAATAAAAAAAAGAAAATCAAATTAATAATTAATGCATACTGCAATGGGCTCCGCCATGTACTATGTTGTTCCCTCCATCACTAGATTCTGCACTACCACGAGACACACACATCCTTGTCATGATTTTGCAGCACCATCACGACACTGATTAAAGAAACGTGACCTCAAAACTGGTTAACTGCAAATGTATTTATCAGCGACCTATCTGTGGGGGTCGAAGGACGATGAAATTTGTGGCTTTCGTGTGCTTTGTAATGGAACTGCTGATAGGAACTGAGTAGCTAAGTGGTTCGATTCAGAGTAGCTAAGTGGTTTGTAGCTAAGAATCCCCTTTTTTCAACTCAGGTTGATTTCTTAATTGGTGACCCCTTTGTGGCTGATAACCTTTCAGACTCTAAGGTTCTGGAAAGTAGTGTGTTCTGTTGGATTCCTCCTCCACTGGACTTCTTTAAGATGAATGTGGACGGGGCGGTGAGTAGTGTGTGGATGGTGGCTGGTATGGGGGGAATTCTAAGGGACTGGAATCGGGTTGTACTGTCTTCATTTTTAGTAAATATAGGTCCTAATACTCCTATCCTAGCAGAATTGAAAGCTATCAAGAAAGGCATTGACATCTTTGTTTCATCTGTATGGGCTTCGAAGGGTAGACTCATTATGGAAAGTGATTCAAAGACAACAGTGGAGTGGATTAAAGATCAGAGTTCAATCCCTATTTACCTGTCTAATTTTGTGAAGGAGATTGCGTCTGCTGTTTCTTTAAATTAGTTCATTATCAGGTGGATTCCTAGGTGTTGTAATTGTGAGGCGGATAAGTTAACTAAGGAGGGAATAGGCTGATTGTACTGCTTTTAGTGGGTTTGTATGTCTTTGAGGGGAGGTCATGCAGGAGTGTATCAAGTCTTATGTATTTTTGTAGGAGTGTTTTTAAATTTTATGTAATTGTATTATCATTAATAAAATGATGTTCTCTTTTCCTCCTTCCACTAGAGGGTTCTTGCCTTAGGACAGTGGACTTCTTAGAGGGAGGTTTTTAACGAGGCATCATATTCCTATAAAAAAAAGAACTGAAGGTAGAAGACCAAGGGCTATGGCCGAAAGCTCCCACGTTGGCTTAACTTCAAAAGATTTGAAATCAACTTTGTGTGTAAAAGAACCTACGCATGCCACCACATATATATATATATATATAAGAATAATTTATATATTTAGTCACTTAATTATTCTTGCAGTTCTATTTTTAATTATCAAGTTATTTTTTTCTTTTTAAAATCATATTTAACATTGTATTTTGGTTTCATTATAATCACTCACTATTAAAAATTAATATAACTGCCGATGTTATATATTTTTATTTTTTCAATGATGATGTAATATTGTTTTATTATGACACATCATCACTGCTAATTTTTTAACAATAAATTACTAAAATGAAATCAAAACTTAATATCATGTATCATTTTAAAAAAAATATAATTAGGTGATCAAAAGAAAACGGTATAAATATTTAGGTGACTAGATATGTAGTTTACTCATATAAATATATATACCATATGAGTACACTACCCACATACGTAATTCTCGAATAACGTCAGTAAAATAAGGATAAATTACGTAAAAGATTATTAAAATATATAGTTATTATAAAATTTACATAATTGCTAAATTACGTGAAAGATTATAAAATTATAGAAAATTATGTTTGTTGTGAACCATATGTGGTAAGTGGTAACGGTATGGAGGCCGTTCGAGTCATTAATCAATTTTTTAAAATAACGATTTTTTTATATATTTAGAGTAAATATAAGATAATATATGTTTAAATTTTTTAATCATTTAATAATAAACATTTATATCCCTACATATATGATGTTCTAATTCGAAACCTTAAAATATAACAATAAATTTCTTAAGCCATTGAGATTTCTTAAATTATAGAAAATTTACAATTACTTGCAAGATGAATTTTCAGCTAAGGAATTGTAGAATCAAAATAGAGTAAAAACTCTAATTGATCGAGAAGAAGAAAAACTCTCTTTAGAATAATCTCACAAAATTGCAAATTGGAAGAACTCTTAAGAAAGCTTTCAAATGCTTATAATTAAGCTTTGATTGTTGGATGATAAAACTCAAATACAAGTAGGGTATTTATAGGTTACAAGAAACAATCTAAACCACTCATTAAAATACACTAAATAATCTAAACCATTGAAATTAAAACATGAGAAAAATACTTAATTTTCACCTAACTAAATTGATGTAAGCAATGACATCAAAACTAAATTGATGTAAGTAATGACATCAAATTAATTTAGGTGTGAACTTATTTAGGCTAATATTGAATTTTCAACAGGAATAGATGAAACAAGTAATAATAATACACGATGTCTGGTCTCCTTATCAGAAACCCCATGGCCGTCTCCATATTGGTACATGCATTGAGCCATCCTCGCCAGGTTCAATGCAATTTGTACGAACGTAGGAGAAGAGGTGGAGTGTGCCATTGATAGATATTCTCCGTTCATCTTTTTCCATGTGGCTTCGATTAGCTTCCTTACGTGCTCGTGGGCTTCCGCTTCGGAAGAGCCAGTTTCGTACATATAGCATTGGATCGATTTCGGAACATCTCCTCTTTTCAGTTCATCCTAAGCAACACAAATACAAGGAAAGAAAGTGTCGGCCAATTACATATGATACCATTATCATTGAGGGATTTCCAACTGGTAAATCTTTATATACATTGCGTACGTACCACTGATGTTCCAAGATCATCAGCAAGTCGTAAAATCAGGGACGAGCAATAGATTATATTGTAATGTTCCTTCCAGTGCTCCAAGCAATCCTTTGTCGTTGAATCGAAAGTTAAAGAACAAGCATGAGAGAGTATTACAGGAGCCGAAATAGAAACCCAAGCATTATCAATATACTCTTTAAAGGTTGGTATGTATCCACTATGAAACCATTTTGCCTCCAACAGATAAGATTTGCATATATCCGCCCACTGAAACACATAATTACACTAAGTTAGATTATGCATGCGTAAATCCATACATGTGTAGATTTCCGGTTTAAATTTTGTTCAGTACCGCTTTCTTCAAGAAAGGAATGGTATGAACTCCATTTTCCTTGAGAATACCAAAAGCCATTTCGTTTATGGAGTTGAAAAGAGCAAGGAAACATATCTTCATATACTCTGGGAGAAGCTCCATTGCATTTATATCCCATCTGAAATTACAACATCATACTATCAAGTTAGCATCTGAAATACTCTGGGACACAGTGCAAATTATGTAAACGTACCTCTCAACAGCTTGAGTGAAGATCTCTAACTCATCCAACGTACCATACACATCGTACACATCATCTATGGTTGTTATTAATGCATTAACCTTTGTTGAAGTTCTTCTTATGTTACCAAACTGAGGATCAAATATAACCCCCACCGTCCACAAAAAGTTCTCCATCAGCCTGTCCCTCGCAAAGCTTAGCTTCTCTCCTAGGCCTGTATCATTCCACCAGCTGGAGGCATATCGTAGGTCATCCTGGTGCACTGCTTGCACAATGTTAAAATCCAATTTAGCGAGCTCCAAAAGCATAGGGTCTCTTTTCTCTGTTTTCTGGTACAAATCTATAAACCACCTGGCTTCCAACCTCGACACCCTCCACTGTAGAGGAAGTTCCAAAGCATGCTCCACTAGCATCCTCAGATGTTCTTCTATTTTATTTTGTTGAAGATGTCGATGAAGTTGTTCGGTTGCGAAATCTTTTGCGGTGTCCAAGATGTCTTCTCCTTCTACCGAAAGGTATGAAGCTTCATAAAAGCTAAGAAGCCCTTTGCAGTCCTCGCATAGGCTTGCATTGAAGTTCCCGATTTCGTCCTGAAAACCAGAGAAAGCCTCTGCAAGTGTATAACATATATTAGGTTAAGATTTGTAATTAGTTCCTGTTCTATGATCTAACCTTGTCAATTTGTCTCGGTACTTTTTGAATTCAGGGATAACGTTACAAAATTACAGTGACTAAAATGATCTGATTGGATCGTTTGAGTCTTAATTCAATTGTCATCATTGTTGTTGTAAAATCCTAGAAGTTATGTGTTCAAATTTGATTAAACATACAATATTATCATAACAATAAAATGAATTAAATTTGGTTTAATGGTATTTAAGATTCTCAAAACTTTCCTAAAAAAAGATAAAAATCAATGAGATCCCTTCATCTTTTATACTTAATGTGCCCATTAATTGACAAACAAATTCAATTGGCCATTTGACTAACATAATTGAATATTAATCGATACGATACTGACGAGAGGGTTCACAGTGTTTATGTGGAAGTCGATGGTGCTATCGATGGTGCTAACATGAAAGTCTATGATGGATGATGACATGGTAGAAGGGTTATTTTGTTTTTTAATCGAGTTCAAGTTAAATTGAATTTTTTAAAAGTTCGAGAACTAAATTGACACTTACACAAAGTTTTATTACTGGATTAGTGAAGTCTTATGGATTTTGTATATGAATATAGTTAAGAAATATCGTAAGTTATTCATAGTAACACACACATCTAATCATATTTCGAACAATTCTAAGGGTTATTTGCAAGCCTTTACACATCGTATAATAAGCTAATGACACTTAAAATTTATCCAAATATAATTAGATGTGTGTATTGATGCGAATAATTTATGATATTTTCTAACTACATCATATAAAAAAATACACGAGTCTCGATTAATCTAGTAATAATAATTTATATTAAGTGTTGATGATATGGTTATATGATAATAAAATCATTTATTATGTGTACATGTATGATATAAAAGTGTATGACATTTTTAATGATGATTGATATGTATATACTTATTTTGTTAATTCGACTATGTGAATGTGATTAATTTATCTTTATATTAATATGAAATTAATTACATTACTTTTTAGAAAATTTTTAGGATCTCATATACCGTTAAGCCATTAAATTATGACTTCATCCACCCAAATTTTATATGCTAATAATTCATTACTATTTCTACAGCATTTTGTTCCTGCACAAAATTATTCTACTTCTTACCTTGTGTAACATTATAACCGTGCTGCCTTAGGAGCCTAAACTCGAGTGCTGTAGCGTATAAATTGTCTTTTTTCCATGAAATCTCAGACCTTATACTCTCCAAAATCCTCTTGGTTTCCTTCTGAAAATGGTAAGACAATCCCAGCCTCTGCAACGTATCGATTAGCTCAAGTTTCTCCAAAGGCTCCGTCGCTTTCTCCAGCATCATCCGAACCTCTCCGACGAGCGTCATGGCTTGTTCATTAAACGATTCCTCCTGCACAAAAAGCAAAAACAACTCTCTCAGCTTTGAATGAAACATAATGTTTGTAACTTTGTAACCTGCAAGTGTATATAATTATACCTGATAGTTGCTCTTGAGCGACTGAATATAATCGTATTGCCATATTGAAGGATGGTAATTACCAGATCGTCGACTAATAACTTTTTGATCCGAACCATTGTCCATAACAGCGACGATTCTGGGGGTTCGAAGGACGCTCGAGCTGTCGAGCTTTGTGGTTTTGGTGTGCTTTGTGGTGAAACTGGTGATAAGGACTGAAGGTAGAAGACGAAGGGCCATGGCGAAAAGCTCCCACCTAGGCTTAACTTGAAAAGATTTTAATCAACTTTGTGTATAAAAAAACCAAGGCATGCCACCACATATATATATAATAAAATTAACTTTACTGGATATTTACGTTAAAAAAGAACCAACACGTAGTTAACATGGGTAAATTGCAATGGATAAGAAACACAGTGATATGATAATTTGTTAGGATATTTATCGTGAGCACAAATGGTAGGGCATATTAGAATTAATATAATAAGTAATTTCATTGTTCACACGTTAAGCAGGATAACTAATACACCCATTGCTAAAGTTTTGTTCCTTAAAAAATACCGTCGATGTATCAAATACTTATTAATAAAGTATATTATTAAGGTAACTTGATTTATAATATTGCTTCTACATAATAAAAGGAAATGAATATTTATATTATAGGATTATTATTCCAAGCACTAGTAATAAAAAACATATTTTACAAATCAATCGACTTCAATAGTTGGGAAATTGTTGTTATATCTAAAAGTTTTGAATTAAAGTACATCATCTGTAAGAGTATTTAAACGTTTATTATCAAATAATTAAAAATATCCCAAACAAGTGCATAATCATATCAATCTATAAAATTTTAAAAAGTATATTATATGAGAATCTAAATTTTTTTTTTTAAAAAAATACGATTATATTCCTAAACGTAATTAATAATAAAAAATTATGGGTTGATAAAAGGCTGAATTGTTTCTATTTAAAGTATCTGTGCTTGAAAAAGTTGATGACTTTGGGGAGGAATAGACTTAGTCGAGAATTCAAATAACTTGTCCGTGTCGCATTGGAAAATGGATTGAACCAAATCCAAGGGTTAACACATATTCTTTTGATATGTCTAGCATGTATAAATATGCATTTTATACCTTGTCATATTAAATTTATATAACATACGAATCCATCAAATGATCTCAGTGATTAATAAAAGTGTTGTTCTTCCTAAAAGTTATAGATTCGAACAGTTATGTTTTTAGAGTTTGTGTGCTTTATCAATAAAAAATTATTAAAAATATATAATAATTTAAATTCATAGAACGACTATTCTAATCTTCCCACGATCCATTTCGGTTCCTTTTTACTAATTGTGGTTCATGACACGAGTATCAATAAATTTTTCTTTACTTTTTTTTTCCTTCTTAGATGATTTCTTTTATTCATTCAAAATCAAAAAAATAAATAAGTTAAAAATTTAATATACACCGACGATTGTTTAATGAGATTGATTTTAAAATATGTTATTCTTCTACTGGGATAAGTACTTGCTACTGTTGAAATTTTCATACAAACTTTTGTCTAATGCAAATGTAATTATCTCAAAATAGATAGAGCTATAGTTTTATCGTATCTATATTAGATTTCCGACTTTTGATTAAAAAAACAATTTCGAAAAAAGAGAGTTGATAAAAATTTGTTTATTAAATAATTATTTGATTGGCTGTTTGCGATGATTAAAATGCATGGGCTGGCAGCATTTGGTGGAAAGGTAGATACGAATCTCCTGGCACCATACCCACATTGTGTGTCGGCAAAATCCAACTCGCCAAGCTACATTAAAATATTATCACTTTAAAAAAGAAGCATTTGACGAATCAACATATGGCTAAATCATCCGTTATTACAAGCACATGAAAAACATGTCAATTAAAGCATCCCAACGGTGTTGATTTCATCCAAGTGGTTTCACTTATTGGGAAAAAAAACATTATTTTGTTTTGAGATCATGAGTTCCGGCAATTGTATGTACAAGATATGTGTTGTGAATAGTTTATCTTTTTTGACGAGATTATTATCCTTGTGACCAATTAATAATAAATAATATGTATAAATAAAGGTATTTATTATTCAATTAAAATTCCATTCACAAATTAACACTTATTTCAATCGAATCCTTATTTATCAATTTCGACATTACATAATCATCACAATTCATGCCTTGATTCAACATTACACAAATAATCCAAAATTCCATGAAACCTTAAACTTTCATTGTTTTAAGAATTAAACATCTGAAATATATACTAATTTGACATTTTCAGGGACGACGACCTCACATGCACCCTTCCGTCTATCTATATCTTTTAAAGATCATGAAAAATTTACTAACAGGTGTTTAGGCCTAAAGACTTCGTATGTGAACTTGAATTGAAGATTCGGAAAGATGTAGCTTGAACCCTTAAATTATGAATAATTACCTATAAAATGAAGCTGAGTGGGCACACTTAATTACAAGCTTAAAAATCATCCAAAATGGCCAAGATTGGCGGCAATGGAGGACTCCAAAATGAAGAAAAAGACTTTCTAATCCTTTCTCTTTCCTTTAATGATCAAGTCCCCCCCCCCCTTTAAACTCATTATTTTAGCCTTTTTTTCTATTAAGAAATTAAACAAAAATTTGTTCAAATGAAATTATGTATAAGTCATCACATCCTATTTAATGGACTAATTACCATGCAACATTACAAATTTAACACCTTTAAAATTTACTCCACAACTCCAATTTCTCATAACTTCACAATTTTATCTTTAATCCAATTAGGATTGATTCCCTTCAACTTCAACCCATTCGAATTAAAACTCAATTTCATTTAATAAATTTATATTCAAAATGAATATAATAAAACCATTTTCCAATCATCAAAATTAAAAAAAAATTAAACAAATTTTAGAGATATTACAATTAGACTCCTTCGAGAAAGCAAAGTTTATACAATTGGTCACGAGTGGTACTATGCCATCTAAGGGTGGAGTCTGACGAATGACACTTTTGCATAATATTTTACGATGATGCAGAGAGCACCATAACTGAATTGAACATATATTTGCAAATCATGAAGGCTACGGTGTTTATCATTTAAACCTAATGTTAGAAAGGTGTTCTTTATATAATCCCAACACCATATATATATATATTGATTAAAAGACTCTAGATCATTTAATAATCAATGCTCAAACATCTCTATAGAGATCATAATTGAACCAAAGACTTGAGTACCAATAGTCCCTTTAATCACTTGATCAATTGATTCTTAATAAGTACTTTTCATTTGAATACAAAACTTTATTATTGAACTCGTATGAGAAAATTATGTAGTGGTCTCGTGTGCACAAGATTTAATCCAAAAAATTAAATCAATTAAAATGGTTTAATTTCCCCCTCTTACATGTGAATACAAATGTCGATTTTGTTTTCTGTTTATCATAATTACTATATTTATTTTAAATCTATTTTTAGTTTATCAGAATCCATCATTCTGAAAACTCCATATTTCCAGCCCTTAAGAAACAGTGTTTTGAAAATTATTCAACAGCTAGCATTTAAAATCGCTTTTTTACAAAGTATCATTGAACATATTGTCTATAGGGATGGCAACTCAACCCGAATCCGACGGGTTCAGACCCGACCCGACCCGATCGGGTCGGATTTTTTTAAAAAAAAATCGGATTCGTGTCGAGTCGGGTCGGGTTTTTTTAAAATGCACTGTTCGGGTCGGGTCGGGTTTAGGGTGAAAAAATCCGACCCAAAAAATATATATAATTTTATCCTATATATTTAGGGATAATTACAATAATATCCCTCCATATATAATTTTTTTCAATTAAGTCACTGTTTTCATTGAATAAAATTTTTTTATTATTATTTCGGGTCGGGTCGGGTCAGGTCGGGTTTCTAAGTCATATATTCGGGTCGGGTCGGTTCGGGTGAAACATTAATTTTGTCGGGTCGGGTCGGGTCACGGGTGGAGAAGCCTTTCTTCTCGGGTCGGGTGACCCAAAAACCCGACCCGACCCGACCCATTGCCATCCCTAATTGTCTATTGATTTCTCTTCATAAAGACTCGATTGAATTAGAGTATGAAAAAGCATAACTGTCATCAACACAATGAGAGAAATTGAAGTACAAAATTGAACAAACTCGTCATGTTATAATCCCAAAAACAAACTAGAAAGGACCCTGATCACTTTTGTTTCGAAAAGTCTAATTATAAGATCCACCAAACTAGAACCATGAAAGAAAAGACTATTTCGGAAACAAAGAAAGTTGCAGCACGATGAAACATACAATACTGTAAAGCTTACTTCCTGCCACGGATCTTCGATGCTTGTCGGTTCCTCTTCTTGACACCAGACTTGGCAACCTTCAGACTACGATTCACGGCACTCAATCTTGCAAGGGCAGCATTTTTCAAATCGGGCCTGTAGTAGTTGTCTGCCACCTGCAATTTTGAATCATTGAACATTAGAGAATTTTGGTATGTAATTGAAAACAAAAACGACACAAACGGAATTTCAAATAATATTGAAAATCCATATCTAACGAGGCTATACTCAGAATACATATATAGACAATTGTGTCTGAATTAACTACATAAGCATTAAAGATACACTATTTGGAAGCTCAGAAGCCAAGCGTAACAAGTACATTTCATCAAAGAATCCAACAAATAGATCCCTCTTATATGTTATTGCTTCATCACTGCAAGATAACAAGATAAAACTCAACAAGAAACTATAAATTCAAGTAAACAATTTTAAAAAGGTGCACAACAGTTAGTTTCAGAACTGACATTAACTAAGCAAAAACCTCAATACTTGTAAAACAAGCCTCTTTACCTGGTTTTTTACTGCCTTTACCATCCTGGGGAACTCTTTTTTCATGACAGACTTGTGAAGCAAGCTTGAAGGCTTGTTTTGCTTCTTAGTCTTGGTTGTTGCTAACAGAACAGATTGGTCTTTGCCCCCAGGTTGAATGGTGACAGTTTTCTTGTTTGCCAACCCTAAAATCACACAGATCAAGGAAAGAGATAATAAAATTCAAAGGATTATAGAAGATATAGCCAACAAATGCGCAAACTAAGTTATTAAATACCGTACAGGTAAGTGTACAGTTTTTCTACTGGTAATAGAACATAAAGGTACCGGTATATTTAGGTGTACGATTTCAGATTTATTGAAATCAGGAGTAAAAGTACGTGCAGCATTCAATATCGGGTACTTTGTTCAGCAATCTTGAGAATATTCCTTGCTTTATTAGATTATGGCTGAGCATCACCACCCATAACCTCAACCACAATGCAACCTATGTCTGATGCAAAGAGAAACTGATCGAGCAGTTCAAACCACAGTTAACTTTTAACTTCTCAGGCCATCAGAATTTTTGTCCCAGCGGTACCATTTCAGCCGAGATGGAAGAAAAAAAGTGAAATATGACAATACAAGCAAAATAAGCCGAAAAATAAGCCAGAATGGAACCTATCCTAAATGATTCCATTTACTGACTGGAACGGAGTGTACCAGCCAAAACCAGAAAGGAATTTACCACACTGGTGCAAATTTCAAATTCACATTTCAAAGTTTTGACCATCCTCAAGATAAAAATGACAACATTATACAACATTTTACCATTTCCCACCTCATTTTGTGGGTGTTAAGGTTGAACTAAGCTCAAGAGCTAAAACATGATTCAAAATTAGCAGTTTGAAGTTCAAGCTCAATTAGGGATAAATATAAAGCAACCTAAACTAACTCAATTAAGATCATTTACCCAATAAAAATGTGCTAGATTATCAATGTTCAAGTTTATATTGAAAATTACCAGTGGTAATTAAAAATTAAAAAGTAAAATTAATCTTTCCTCTACATAGGTAAAATGCAAATTTCATTTTTCCCTTAAAAAGAAAAAAAAGAGCAATTAACAAATACCCTATACTTCTCTTATTATTTCCTGAAGTTTATATATATAAATTACCGGAGTGTTTGTAGCAGTTGAGATTGTAGAGATTGTTGGGCTCTTTGCTGAATCGAACTCCAGCAGTACCTCTTCCAAATTGCTTCACCAAGAAACAATTGTTCTTCTTTACTACCTCCCAAATCAACTGTCCTGGAACTGTCGCCATTTTTGTTTATCTCTTTCCTTGCACCTCACTGCACCAGATTCAACCAAAAAATACCTCAAATTTGGTAAGAATAAAATCATCTAAAAACTAAATCAAACACGAATCAGAATAGATTATTAGTAACAATGAGCTAAGAATTGAGGAAGAACCCGTTAGACTATTAGGCTTTTTGAAGAGATGAACGAATTGTAGATGCGAAAGAGGGGGAGCAAAAATGGCGGGTTTTATAGTAGTGGAAGTAGGGTTTTCTTGAAGTAAATTACGATCGCGTCCCTTTCACTTTCTTAATTAAGTTTATTTCCAAAAGCCCAAAGGTTGTCACTTATATAATGAAGCCCAAAACTTATTCAAATGGAATGAACATGTGTTTGTAGACCGGATCAAATCAAAGTTCGATTTTCAATTTTAGAATTTCATCGTTGTGGATTGCCGAGATCGTTAATCGGGGGCGATACTCAACAGTGGTGTTGGCTTTTATGTCGGTGTTCGGATCATGCCAATGCTGGCGAAACCCATTCTGGATCCGAGTTAATCGAAAGATTTAGTGGAATGGAATATGTTTGTGAGTAAAATTATGATAGTGAACGTGCTCAGATTCATTGCACGGAGGATGGGTGAGTGGAGGCTTACACTCACAATCTCAAAGCGAGTTCCGATATGCTTCCAGATGTTGTCGCCGCTATATCGAGATCTAAGAAATCCGGGGTGAAATTGTTTGTTTTGGGTTGTGAGATCGTTGCCTTCAACCGTGAGAAACAAGAACTCCTCCCGAATCAGATTCTAAGCACCCGAAGGAGCAAGCATGTGACATTGAATGAGATAAAAGTCAAGGTTTGCTTATTTGCTTTTGATATTTTGCATCTTAACGGTCAATTGCTCTACGAAGAACAGCTCAAAAATTGTAAAAATCCTCTTTACGAGCCAATCCGAAGCGAAAGAAAGGAAGTTGAAATGTGCCTTAAAGCGCCACTAAAGCAAACTGGGAAGGTTTGGTGATCTAAGGTTTAAATGATACATACAAGCCTGGTATGTATCCATGGCTGAAACTGAAGAAAGATTACATGGAAGGCATCAGAGACTTGTACCTATTGCCGCGTACCAAGGTCGCCGGATGACGGTGATGAACTGTAGTCTGCTATATTAGACGAACTTAAGCCTAAATGCCAGATGCGGATACGTAGTTTACTATATTAGTTGAACTGTAAGAAATAGATAAAATCACGACAGAAAATACAAGCCGAGTACAATTACAGTTTCAGCATATGTTCGGAAACAAGCTCTCTAGATAAATGTCATGCTAATTACAGGTTAACTACAAAAGCTAAACAGGTTTAACCTTGCAAGGGCAGCTTTTGTTAAATCCGGCCTGTAGTAGTAGTCGTCGCCTGCAATATCGAATCATGTAACATTGGACAAAATTCATGTAAGAACTGCTATGTCGAGAAACGAATTATACAAGTACAGTTTCAGAATATCATTGCAAATGAACACTACACAGACGGGATTTAGAATACTATTGAAAATCTATATCCGAAAAGGCTAATTTAGCATACATATATACACAACCATGCCCGAAGTAGTTACATAAGCAGTGAATATGTACAGTATGTTATTGCTTCATCACCGAAAGATAAAAAAATAAAACCCTCGAGAAAATTTAAATTCGAGTTCCAGCAGCACCATACTGTTAGATGAACAAATCAGCATTCAAGCAAACAATCGAAAAACTCCTACAAGTACAACATAAATTGCTGTGCAAAGTGCAAACATTAAATTCACATCTTGAAATTTCCAGTTTTCGACCATTCACGATATAAAAACAACCACCATATTTTACAACCTATCACATTATACAACAATACCATTTCCCACCAAATCCTATGGTTGTAATCGAGTTGACCCGAGCTCAAGAGTTCAAACTCCATTCAAGAACTGAGTCTTGATACTTGGCTCGGGTCAATTGAACTTCACATTTAAAGCTCAAGCTCAATTAAAGATAAAGATTAAGCTAATTAAACTCGCTTGATTAGGACCATTTACAAATTACCTTCAGCAGTTCAGTACATGTACAGAAACAAGCTCTCTAGCTTCGACGTCATGCTAGCTAAAACAGGTTAACTAACTACGAAAGATATATGCTTACCATGTTACTAGTTGTCATCTTCATTGTCCTCCTCTTCATCATCAAAATCGTCTTCCTCTTCTTCATCCAATTCGCTTTCTTCTTCCACCTCCGCATCATCATCCTCCACGATAAATCCACCAAGCGTTTCATCATCGTCGTCAACACCACCTTCTTCCCCTGCAGCAACCGATTTTGTTGGCGCATAATTTCTCCTTTTTCCACCATCCTTTTTTGACTTATCACGGTCCTTTGATCTTGTAGAATAATTCCCTCTCCGGACTTTTCTTCCTGTCAATGCAACCTCCTCGATATCGCCCTCGCTCTCACCAGTCCAGTCATCATCAGCGTTTTCTCCTTCCTTTCTCTTTCTCCCCTGACTTTTCCTCCTTCCATCGAAAGCTTCATCCTCGTCATCTTCATGATCGCTACCCTTTACACGTTCCTCCAGAAACCAGTCCCAGTTCTTTATATTAGGGATCCTTTGATTAGGGTATTGATCAAACTCATGCCCAATCACAAGAAAACCGAATTCTGCATTCTCCAATTCATTAATCAACTACAAATTGAAACTTTCAAATCATAATGCTACAAATCAGATAAGAATAAAATTTAGCTAATAGATTAATTTTAGTGGATTTCCCACTTCTCAGCAACCAAACACAAATTTAATCTAACAAATTTCAGAAATAAGAAGAGATTCTTAGCACTTCAAACTCATAATTACAAATTACAAGAAAACGAAAATCAGCATTTACTGATTCACTATCAGACTAAAAAATGAATAAAGTTCAAATCAGTTAAAAGTAGTGTAAGTAATTGGTTAATTTTTCCAGGATTTTCATTTTCAGAGTAACCAAAAAAAAATTCAATCTAACAAATATAATAAGTAAGAAGCAAATTGTACCTTTAACTGGATCGATATGTTCAACATCAACACTCTCTGCTCCACTCCCACTCCCCAAATCTCTATCTTCTTCTTGTTTTTCATTTTCTTCAATTTTCTTCACTACAAACCAAACAGGAATCCGACCCGAAACGCAGAACCAATCGCCATTTTCCAGCTGACCTTTATCGGAACTTTTATAAACCTTAATCTCTCCGTTCGTTCTGCTCCGTACCCAAACCGGGTTCTTTCCAATAACTTCAAATGAAACCATGGGATCATTTTGGGTCCCGCCGGTTTTATCGACCGGAGTTTCGAGCTCGAGTTCAACGTGACGGCGAGAGACGGTCCGGTCACCGTTGTTGAATCCTAAACCTCTTCCGAATATGGTCTTCAAGCCTGGTTTTAGCGCCAATTTTGAACCATATGCTCCTTCGATTTCCATTGAACTTCTCTTCATTTTCCCTGAGTTTATCCATGGTGGATTGATTTCCGAAAGATTTAATATTTTGGAGAAGCGGCACCGTTCACCACTTCACTGGATCGTTGACTAAGACCCGACCCAGTGTTCATGGATTATATTTAGGGTAAACTACACTTTTTGTGTCCCAACTATTACTTTTATTTCGTTTAGATAATCCAACAATTTTTTAAATTTGGTCACCTAATTTGAATGTTTTAAAGTTCAAAGATCAATTGTAGGAGGACCTCTAATGCAATTAACCGTGTTTGTGTCACATATATTGTCTATCCCAAAATCTGTCAACTCTCTTCTAGGATTTCTCTTTCAATCTATCTGTTGCAGAAGAGAAATGGGTACAAAGAAGAAGACTCTGTTCTTCACTTTTCTGCTGCTGCTATGCACTGCTCATTCCTTCTACCTCCCGGGTGTAGCCCCTCGTGATTTTCAAAGGGTACTTTTTTCCCTCTATCTCGCTCTGGGTTTTTCTTTTTTTGTGTTTTATCTTTAATGTTAGTGATGATTCATGGGTGAATTTTTGTTTTTTTATGGGATATTGGACTTGGATCTAGGGTTTTAAGTGTTGATCTGATGTGTAGGTGTATTCGTTTCTCTTTTAGATCTGTAGTTGTGTTCTTTCTCCTTTTGGGGTTTCATTCTTTTTTTTTTAAATGGATTTTGATTTTAGTTTCGTTTTAATGGTGATTGCGTTGCTTGTTTTGGATTTTGGTTCTGAATGGTGTACTAGTACTGCTGTAAGCTTAACAACATTTTCTACCTATGTTATTCGGACTCGGATTTGTTAAGTTGAATATGGTAAGTCCGACACGGGCATAGTCTGATTTTTCTAAGAGTTTTCATGTATTTGATGGATTTTTGAAGACACGGCACATGATTTTATGTCAGGAGGAACTTTATATTTAGTAACTTATATTGTAAATTTAAGGTACGAAATTATAAAATTTTAGGTGGCAAAGTTAGATCGTCAATAAAAAATATAAAGAAAATAATTAAATTATATGAAAATTTAAAAATTTCAGGTGTCAGTCCATGTTTGGAGGTCATATACCTATACCCATGCATGCATGTCAGACACGGGTACTTGAACAAAAATGAAGAGTTGGAGCAGAGTTTGCTACTACCATTGGAATATTAATGCTGTTTTTGAAACTTAACGCTGGGATATTCATATTTTGCTCAACAATTGATAGAAAGTTCAAATTGTAACCGGCAGCTGGAATTTGTAATGTTCTTTGGTGCAAGCTTTTAAAGAATGGAATGTAACCACAAGCTGACCTGTCTGAGTTAATTATTATGCTCGTTGAATCATCATATTTGACTTGCAAAGATGTTTAATTCCAGAATAAGGACCGTGTTTACTGATTATGGTGTAATGTGAATAGCAAACACCTGTTTGCTGATCCTTGAAGTGATCTAGTTTTAGGCTCATAGTATCTTTACTGTTATGCATGGTTAATTTTTAATAAAGCTTATAACTTAGCCCTTCGATCCCTGGGGGCTTTTGGTGTGGTTTGAGGGATGATAGAGCTCTCAGCTACTCTCTAATGATCATCGGTGTGAAGAAATTAAGGCTACTTCATTCTTTCTCAGCATCTTACTTTTTCTGTTTCTTAAAATCTTCTGAAATTAAGGATGTGTTTCTTGCAATTTATTTCCTTAAATTCAATGAACATCCAAAACTATGAAGATAATACAATAATTTTCCAAGTTTCAAGAGATCATTGACTATAGAGTTAAAATCATAAAAGCATACTCGGTGTTAATTTTTATGTGGCACCCGGGCTATTTGTTTGTATGATCTGATGTTGGTAAGTATGCAATGCTGTTTTGCATTTCTCTTTAGGGTCCTCAAGGGCACATGTTACTTTTCTTGAAAATATTTTTCCGTTTCCTAATTTTGAAGGCAAGGGATTGGTGGAGAGAATATTCAGATGATATTATTCTGATTCTGAATTTTGTTCAAGATCTTTTTTGTCATGGCTTTTATCTCCTTTATTGTTATTATTTGTATGATTGTATTTGTATTAAGTCTTAGATTGTCCTTTTTCTGATTCTGAACAGGGTGATCCCCTTTATGTAAAAGTGAACAAATTGTCATCTACAAAGACTCAACTTCCATATGACTATTACTACTTGAACTACTGTAAACCACCCAAGATTCTGAACAATGCTGAAAATTTAGGGGAGGTGTTACGTGGTGACCGTATAGAGAATTCTGTCTACACTGTAAGCATCTGTACCTTTTGTATTTATATGCTGTCGGTGACAAGTGGTTTTCTATTAAAAGTTCTATAGATTATATCTTCAATCACATTTCATGTTTATCATTTTTTTCTTTAGTTTGAAATGAGGGAGGATCAGCCTTGCAAAGTAGCCTGTCGAAAAAAACTTGATGCCAAATCTGCAAAGAATTTCAAGGAAAAAATTGATGATGAATATCGAGTTAATATGTAAGTACTAAATGTGATGCCTAGGATTCATATTTTCTTGTTCCTTTTTCTTTTTGGAGATGTTTTATGTAATTTTTAGCCTTTATTTCTTTAATGATTGTTTTCACTTCTTTTACTGCTCGTATTATTATATGGTGAATGTTTATACTATATTATATGGAGTTGATGCACAGGATTCTCGACAACCTTCCGGTTGCAGTACTTAGACAAAGGAGAGATGGGAGTCAGTCAACAACATATGAACATGGTTTCCGTGTTGGGTTCAAAGGGAATTATGCTGGGGTATGATGCTCTGGGAAGATAGTGTTGCTTTCAAAGATTTATGTGTTTCTTATCTTTTCTTAGCCGTTCATTTGTCATTGCAGAGCAAGGAGGAGAAGTATTTTATCAACAATCACTTGAGCTTCAGGGTTATGTTTCACAGGGATACTGAGACCGATGCTGCTCGAATTGTTGGATTTGAGGTTACTCCAAACAGGTTTTCTATCAATTCCTTTTTACTTCCTTTTTGTTCATTTGCATTTGTTTTAGCATTTAATTAGGTTTTGTGGATTTGATTATAACTTAGTCATTAAGAGTTGTTTCAATGCAATCCTCTTCAATTTGATTCTAACATAGCAAATTTAATTGTTCATTGAAATATGCTACTCAAAATGAGTGAAATTTTAATGAAATTTGCCTTCACCGTGCAACATTAGAAACTAACGCTTTTAGGATCATGGTTATTTTCTATTTTTTATCAAATGACTCATCCGTCGTCTCTTGTAAACAGTATTAATCATGAATACAAGGAATGGGATGAGAAGAATCCCCAGGTAACAACATGCAATAAGGACACCAAAAATCTATTTCAAGGTAGCACTGTTCCGCAAGAAGTTGACGTAGGCAAGGAAGTTGTTTTTACATATGATGTAACTTTCAAGGTACTTAGGCTTTTCCGTTCTCATTCTTGTCATAATTTTTCCCGCTGCATATCCTAATGCATAGATTAATTTATGGTTTTTTCTTCAGGAGAGTGATATCAAATGGGCTTCTCGTTGGGACACATACCTTCTGATGAATGATGATCAGATCCACTGGTTTTCCATCATAAACTCGTTGATGATTGTTCTCTTCTTATCTGGCATGGTGGCCATGATCATGATGAGAACATTGTACAAAGATATTGCAAACTATAATCAGTTGGAAACCCAAGATGAGGCTCAGGAAGAAACGGGATGGAAACTTGTCCATGGGGATGTCTTTAGGCCTCCAATCAATTACGGTTTACTCTGTGTTTACGTTGGCACAGGTGTCCAGATTTTTGCAATGTCTCTCGTGACAATGATATTTGCGTTGCTGGGCTTTTTATCTCCTTCTAATCGTGGAGGGCTCATGACTGCTATGGTTCTCTTGTGGGTTTTCATGGGAATATTTGCCGGTTACTCTTCGGCTCGTCTATACAAAATGTTCAAGGGCACAGAGTGGAAGAGAATTACTTTGAAAACAGCATTTATGTTTCCGGGTATCCTGTTTGCCATATTCTTTGTGCTGAATGCACTAATTTGGGGAGAGCAATCTTCTGGTGCAGTGCCATTTGGTACAATGTTTGCTCTTGTTTGCTTATGGTTCGGTATATCAGTTCCCTTGGTCTTTGTCGGCAGTTACTTAGGTTTCAAAAAGCCAGCCATTGAAGACCCTGTGAAGACCAACAAAATTCCGAGGCAGATAGCCGAGCAGGCATGGTATATGAAACCAGTCTTCTCAATACTCATCGGAGGCATTCTTCCGTTTGGGGCTGTTTTTATTGAGCTCTTCTTCATCTTGACATCGATATGGCTAAACCAGTTCTATTACATCTTCGGCTTCCTTTTCATAGTGTTCGTTATTCTAATAATCACTTGTGCTGAGATAACAATCGTGCTTTGCTACTTCCAGTTGTGCAGTGAAGACTATCGTTGGTGGTGGAGATCTTACTTGACTGCTGGTTCCTCTGCTCTTTACCTTTTCCTTTACTCGGTTTTCTACTTCTTTACCAAATTGGAGATCACTAAGCTGGTTTCAGGCATCCTTTACTTCGGATACATGGTAATTGTTTCATATGCTTTCTTTGTCCTGACTGGGACAATCGGCTTCTATGCTTGCTTCTGGTTTGTTCGCAAGATATATTCTTCCGTGAAAATCGACTGAGATTGAGAATGTAGAAAGAGGATCAGACATCAGACCTATAAGAATACACGAAGGACAAGACGAAATCATGGTGTAGAATATTTCTGGACGAAGATACGGTACGGAATTTTTTATTTCGTATCGTCTCTACTCTAAACATTCTTTACTTTGCTCAATTATGATGTAGGCTTGGCCTGCTATTTTATGTACGCTATTCAAGGACTGTACTCTTTAAGTAGTTTCTCGTAGGAGTAAAATCTACGATCCAGTCTTATATTGGTCCTTTGATATCGACTTGCAACAAAACATCAAGGACTGGATTCGTTAATGCTTAGCGATCGGCCTGAGTGTACTCTGATCGTTTCTTTGTTCGAGTCGAGCATTGCATCCCAATGAGGCAATGACACACTGTTGGAATTTGGTATAGAACAGTTTGTAGTAGTATGTAGTATAAATTGTTCTTCAAATCATTACTGCTTTCTATTTGCTTTCTATTTGGGTTTCCATCCTTTCTGACTAGCTTGCTTTCCCCGGCGAAACTCGCACTTTTAAAAAATTGAGAACTTCATGTAATAATCTGTATAAGGAACTAGGGGTCGGCAAAACTTGACTCGAAATTTTTTAAATCTGAGTCGAGTTATAAAGTAGAACTTGAATATCTCAAAATTTTTAGTAATTATTGGATTGATTTTTAAGTTTGAATCAAATCTTTCAACTCCCAAATGATATATGTATATATATATGAAAATAATATGAAATATATATATATGTGTTGTATATGATTATAAAGAATCATTTAAATTAAAATTAAATAGCATCATAATATTATAAATATTTACAATTAAATTAAAAAAATCGAATAATTCGAGCCGAAGAAAATTTCAAATAATTTTTAAAAAATAAGACTCGTTCATTCGAATGACTCAAAAAATTTTAATTCGACTAGACTTAATAGGACGATGACATTTATAATGAAACTATTGTTTATAATTACTCCTCAAATTACATAGTTTTTATAATTCAATAATTTATACAAGCTAAAACACGTTAATCATTCATATCATGTAGTTTTTAAATATCCGTACATTTATACTATATAGTCTATATTCGTATTATTTGACATAGGATACATGCAATTTAGTCATTATTCTTTCACTGTATTATTTCAATGCATCCCCATTGGACCTATCAATTCAATCCAAACTTGAAAATCGGTTTCGTAACAATAAATTTCTCAATTATTAAAAGTTACGAAATGATCCATGATTATAAAATATTATTTTATTAAATTTCTTGGCTATTAAAAGTTACAAAATGGTCTTTCGACTATAAGGTGTTATTTTGTTGAGTCCCCCGACTATTAAAAATTACAAAATGATAACCCGACTATTCATATGTTCCGAACTCGTCTTTTTCCATTAAAGAATTGACTACGATCTGAACTGGATTTTAACCTGCTGTCTGAGATAAGATAAAACATGATCTTATAATCTCAAACGACTATCATATCTCAGTCGGCATGTTAACGTTCAGCTCAAATGAGCGTTAATTTTTTTATATATATATTTCAATAGTCAAGGGACTCAACAAAGCAACACTCTATCATCGAGAAATCATTTTATAACTTTTAATAGTTGATGACTCAACAAAATAATATCTTATAGTCAGGGACCATTTATATATTTTACCCTTAGTTTTAACACGAAACGACTCAAATACGAGAATAAAATAACTCGAAACATCCAAAAATTTAAATCTTGAATACCGAAGAGCAGGTTACAGTCCAAATATATAGATAAGAAAATATACTCTTTTGCATGCATACAGGTCAAAAACTGGCGTACAATCCAGAAATGAGGAAGAAAAAGAAGAGATTTGGAAAAGTGGATATTGTTTCAAACACGACACACTTTTCAGTTTTAAACTCGAACTCAAATTCGATCCGATCATTTTTTCTTAAGTTATCTAACAATGATCACCAGCAGCTGATTTTTGCATTTGAAAACCACCATCTCCCTGTGCTCGGCAAATGACGATTGTATTATAAACAAGGTCAAGTTCAGCTTGCTTACACTCTATTTCACGTTCGAGTTCTTGTATGATCCGATAACAACCACCGACAGGGTCTTTGGCTCGCATATCGGATTGAACGATGATGTTTCGCATTGCGATATCTACCTTGGAACGATCTAGGTTTATAATGGTCTGCGCAACTTTGTGTATTGGGAAATATTTACGCACATTTTCGAACTGTTGTTCGCGGTCGTGGGGGAAATAGGGGGCGAAAATGCAGCCGGCAGTGCACCGCCGATGTTGGTATTTACACGCCGCGCAATCTTCCGTCATGGTTTAATATCGGAGGCGATGTCGGCAGGATGGTTTTCTAGAGATTTTGTTTTGGTTTGTCCTCTGTTACGTGGGAGGGAACAAAATGGAGATAAAACGTATGATTTTATATGAAAAAAGGGTCCATCACAGATTTCTGTTGCGTATCTTTTGGGTGGTTTCACAAAGAAATATATGCGTTTGAAACAAATAACTTAAAATAGATTCCTAAGTGATCATTTCAGTCTAATTATAATATTTGAATTCGAATTTTAAAAGACTTGATTTCTTATTTATTAAAATACTAATTGATAATTAATTCAGATCTATAAATTACCAAACACATTGAAGGTGTCATGATAGTAAAAAATTATCTTCTTTGTATATTAATTATCTCTTCTTCTTTTTGTCTTTGTTGATCTTTGTTGATCGACAGCGACATCAACTTTAATGTTGATTGTCGACCGTCGGTATTCTTTATTGTCTTTTTATTTTCTCTTGTTTTTTTATTTTCAAGTCTGCATGTATGATATGTTTTTTTGTCTTCTGACACGTTTTTTTATCATTTGGCCGTTTTCTATTTTGAATAAAATTAATGATTTCTTTTTAAAAAAGTTAATATCAATATTCTTAATTAAAGAAGAACGTTAAACCTCAATATGATACCAGTACTACACCTTACATCTTAGGGGCCGTTTGGTTCAAGAAAAAGATCATTATCAAGAGGAATAATCTTTCGGAATTGTATTTCCGTGTTTGGTTCACAGAAAGAATTATTACTAGGGAATACTCTTTTCTAAATAGTAGCATTTTTTTGTTAAAGTTGTGGGAGGAATAAGATTACTGGAATATAACATTGTCATGGGAATGTTATATTACCTTGTTTTGTCTGTTTAGCAGGAATGTAAGATTACAATATTTGATTGAAGGAATATAAAATTACTTGGATGCACATTTCACCAAATTATCATGTGATATATGTTTTTTTCTCAACAAGTTAAACTTTAATATTAAATTATAAATATTTAAATAAAAATTCATAAAAATATTTTTAATTATTACATTATCTAACTTTTTAGAAAAAAATATATTTAATGTATAATTAATATAATTAGTATATCAAACTTCGACGTCATGCTAGCTAAAACAGGTTAACTAACTACGAAAGATATATGCTTACCATGTTACTAGTTGTCATCTTCATTGTCCTCCTCTTCATCATCAAAATCGTCTTCCTCTTCTTCATCCAATTCGCTTTCTTCTTCCACCTCCGCATCATCATCCTCCACGATAAATCCACCAAGCGTTTCATCATCGTCGTCAACACCACCTTCTTCCCCTGCAGCAACCGATTTTGTTGGCGCATAATTTCTCCTTTTTCCACCATCCTTTTTTGACTTATCACGGTCCTTTGATCTTGTAGAATAATTCCCTCTCCGGACTTTTCTTCCTGTCAATGCAACCTCCTCGATATCGCCCTCGCTCTCACCAGTCCAGTCATCATCAGCGTTTTCTCCTTCCTTTCTCTTTCTCCCCTGACTTTTCCTCCTTCCATCGAAAGCTTCATCCTCGTCATCTTCATGATCGCTACCCTTTACACGTTCCTCCAGAAACCAGTCCCAGTTCTTTATATTAGGGATCCTTTGATTAGGGTATTGATCAAACTCATGCCCAATCACAAGAAAACCGAATTCTGCATTCTCCAATTCATTAATCAACTACAAATTGAAACTTTCAAATCATAATGCTACAAATCAGATAAGAATAAAATTTAGCTAATAGATTAATTTTAGTGGATTTCCCACTTCTCAGCAACCAAACACAAATTTAATCTAACAAATTTCAGAAATAAGAAGAGATTCTTAGCACTTCAAACTCATAATTACAAATTACAAGAAAACGAAAATCAGCATTTACTGATTCACTATCAGACTAAAAAATGAATAAAGTTCAAATCAGTTAAAAGTAGTGTAAGTAATTGGTTAATTTTTCCAGGATTTTCATTTTCAGAGTAACCAAAAAAAAATTCAATCTAACAAAATATAATAAGTAAGAAGCAAATTGTACCTTTAACTGGATCGATATGTTCAACATCAACACTCTCTGCTCCACTCCCACTCCCCAAATCTCTATCTTCTTCTTGTTTTTCATTTTCTTCAATTTTCTTCACTACAAACCAAACAGGAATCCGACCCGAAACGCAGAACCAATCGCCATTTTCCAGCTGACCTTTATCGGAACTTTTATAAACCTTAATCTCTCCGTTCGTTCTGCTCCGTACCCAAACCGGGTTCTTTCCAATAACTTCAAATGAAACCATGGGATCATTTTGGGTCCCGCCGGTTTTATCGACCGGAGTTTCGAGCTCGAGTTCAACGTGACGGCGAGAGACGGTCCGGTCACCGTTGTTGAATCCTAAACCTCTTCCGAATATGGTCTTCAAGCCTGGTTTTAGCGCCAATTTTGAACCATATGCTCCTTCGATTTCCATTGAACTTCTCTTCATTTTCCCTGAGTTTATCCATGGTGGATTGATTTCCGAAAGATTTAATATTTTGGAGAAGCGGCACCGTTCACCACTTCACTGGATCGTTGACTAAGACCCGACCCAGTGTTCATGGATTATATTTAGGGTAAACTACACTTTTTGTGTCCCAACTATTACTTTTATTTCGTTTAGATAATCCAACAATTTTTTAAATTTGGTCACCTAATTTGAATGTTTTAAAGTTCAAAGATCAATTGTAGGAGGACCTCTAATGCAATTAACCGTGTTTGTGTCACATATATTGTCTATCCCAAAATCTGTCAACTCTCTTCTAGGATTTCTCTTTCAATCTATCTGTTGCAGAAGAGAAATGGGTACAAAGAAGAAGACTCTGTTCTTCACTTTTCTGCTGCTGCTATGCACTGCTCATTCCTTCTACCTCCCGGGTGTAGCCCCTCGTGATTTTCAAAGGGTACTTTTTTCCCTCTATCTCGCTCTGGGTTTTTCTTTTTTGTGTTTTATCTTTAATGTTAGTGAT